GTGCCTTACCAACTGAGCCAGGCCGTTGTCTCTGTTTTCCATGCATCGGAGCATCATCCCTTTCTTCGGCTCACCGTTCGCCCAATCGACCCTTGTCCAGCTCAGACCTGTCGCCCAACAGACTAAGAGGTGGACCCCACCGCCCAAAGTCTGAAAAAGGCAGTTTCCGAGGTAAAGCGACGTGGAAGTCCTGGAAGTTTTCGGAAAAGAAAAGACGGGACCCCACCGAAGTGCCTCTTTTCCCGACTTTTGGAAGAGTTCTTCCAGACTTTCGGACCAGTTTGGTTGTTTTGTTTGCCGTCGAAGGCCTGGCAGGCCATGGTGGCCCTGGTGGGTGTCCGGTCACGGGTCGTGGGTGGCATTGTGTGGCATCTGTGGCGCATGGTGCAACGGGAAACGCAGGGGCCCTCCCGCTTGGACGGTTTCGCGGTACCCGAGACGGCAACGGTCGAGCAGCACCAGTGTCTGGCCTCGTGGTCCGTTCGCCCGTCCAGTGTAGAAAGCCAGGCGTGGGAGTGTCGGGTGGTGTTCAGTGGGGACTCTTGGAACTCCCAGACACGAAGGGGAGGGGGCATGTTCTGTGAGGGATTATCAACGACCGACTGAAGTGGATCGGCACAGCCGCGGGAAGCGAAGCACTGTCGTGCCCCCCACATGGACGTGTCGATGTCAACAACCGTGGCGGATTACTGGGATGACAATGAGATGTTCATCGTCCTCTTCGTCATCATGCAATGGATCAACCGGAGAAACGTCGCCGCCATGGGCGTCCTTCAAGCTGCAGCAACAGTGTCGTTGTTTGGTTCGGAGATTTCGTCCGTGCTCTTCCATCTGGCCGGTGCGGTGATGCACAGCGTGTCGTTGGCATCTTGCATTCCCGACGAATTGGGTGCGAGGTTGGACCGGCGGCGGCGAATATGGGTGATCGAACGCAGCGGGGGGTTGTGGAAGGATCTGCAGAGGGTGGGAGTGGAGCACGACAAAGTGTTTAAGCGATTTTGCAGGTTGCCGCGGCCTGTATTCAACGACGTGCTCGCCCGAATTGGCCCTCATATCCAGCGCCAGACGACGAACTGGAGGCAGCATGTCCCAGTCGGCCAGAAATTCGCTTGCGCTCTCATCAGGTGGGCGACGGGAGGTTTCTACAGGCAGACAGCGCATGGGCTGGGGTTGGGTTTGTGCAGCGGTCTTCGGAGTAACGAGGACGTGGCAGACGCTTTGATAAGGGAGTACGGCAACATTATCTCGTTTCCGACAGGAGGGAGGATGGAGGAAGTGCTTGTTGCCTTCGAGAGAAAGGGTTTCCCAGGGTGCATGAGAGCCATAGACGACACTCACATATACCTAGAAAAACCGAAGAACGAGCGGTCGGAGTGTTACGGGGCAGTACTCCGTGCAAGCCCAAGTGGTGTGCGACCACGAATGCCGCATATGTAGTATGTATATGGGGTGCCTTGGTTATATGCACGATTGGTGTGCCCTTCGTTTGTCTCCTCTATACCGAATGGCGCAAGAGGGCCGTGGCGTTTTTGGCTCGGGGTCTGTCGTTTTGAGAGATGGTCGTTATGTGGGCCGTTACGTGCTTGGTGATGAAGGATACCCATTGCTGTCGTGGATAATGATTCCTGTCGGCAACAAGGAAGGCGGGAGAATGGCTGCGGAAGTGACGTACGACGATTGTCACACTTCGGCGCGGTCATGTATCGAACGGACATTCGGGCGATTGAAGTCCGTTTGGAGACATTTCATCCGCCGTCAGATTGGCAACATGAAGACTCTGTTGAAAGAGTTCATGGCGATCTCCATTCTCCACAACATCATGGTTGATGCAAGGGTCATCATTGATCCGGACCTGCTGTCCGATGACAGCGATGATGACCGGAGTGATGCGGAGAGCCAGCCACGTCGGCGAAGACGCGTCCACGCTGGAGGACAGCCGCCGCAGCCTCCGCCGCCTGAAGAAGATCCTACATACGGCGGACAGCTGGCGGGGGAGATTAGGGAGAGTTTGATTAGTCACGTGAGCAATCACGCACGTGTGCACGGCGGTCCGCCGCCTAATCCATGGGGGCGGTAATGGAATTTTTCTTTTCTTTTTTTTAGCTCTTGTGCCCGGTGCGTTCCATTTTAATAATTACAGACTTTCTTATAGAACTCTCTCTCTCTCTCTCTCTCTCTCTCTCTCTCTCTCTCACACACACACACACACACACACACACACACACACACACACACACACACACACACACACACACACACACACACGTGTGTGTGTGTGTGTGTGTGATCGATTGCAATGAAAGTTTGTATATATCGACACARCAGGCATGGGAGAGGGAGGGAGTGAAAATCCCAATGAAATCATAGTTTCAGAATCACAAACACAGCAAGGTTAATGGGAGAGGGAGAGTGAGGGAGAGGGACAGAGACACAATTGCAAAGAAAGTTTGGAATGACATTTCTCATTCGTCAACAGAGCAGAAAGGGACGAAAGACAAAGCAAGTTCTCTGCTATCGGAGAACCATAGTCCAAAACCGGAATGTCATAAAGCAGTACTGTTCATGTCAGCACCTTCCACTGCGACCAATCACAATACCCTAATATCAAAAAAATCGGCAGTGTGCAGATGACGGCAAAGCAGACAACAACAACACAATCCAATTACAATCGTTTTTTTGCCTGTCTCTCCCTCCACCACGAACAGTCACCATGTGGGAACCATGAAGGAATGACTACGTAAGGGAAAACCCATGAAGCCCGTGTGCACGTCCCGATGGTCCCATCAATGGGTGTCAAACAAAACCAATCAAGCGCGACCAAAAAAAAAGGGAAAAAAAAAAACTAAAAATACCGTGAGAAGACGCGTGCGGCAGCATAACCCCATACCGTAGTTCCATTCGCGTAACTGCGAATCCCATCAACGATCACCCCCGAATACCCATACTGCCCACGTCTCATCTACACAAGAACAACACCATCAACACACCACGATTCCCGACTACAACCTGATCTCGCCGTGGAGATACCCCCGACCGACGAGCGGCCAATCGAGGAAGATGTGGTAGAATGCCCCCATGTCCGGTCGCTCCGCGTGCTCCAGCGCCAGGTACTCCACGCTCTTCAGGACAATGTCCCCGACGATGTCGTGTTGCAACATACTCCAGTCGTCCGGTATGTCGTCAGCGAGCTTCGTGACCCAGATGAGGACATGGCTCAGCAAGTCCCCCGCGTAACCAAGAGCGACATCAAGGTTGACAGCGGGCAGGTCGTTCACATCCACGGAGTACACTCGCGTGGTCCTCCTCGTAATCTCTTCCCCGAAAGCTTCCTGGTTCCTGTCCAACCACACGTCGCGAATATGCACTTGCTCGAAGCAGTTCACGGCGTCGCCACGTATAATCTCCCTCCACGCCAGGGTCGCAGCCATCTCTCTCTCTCTCTCTCTCTCTCTCTACCGTGTGGACTCGAGCGCCGCAAAGAACACAGAGTGCCGCTCTGCGCAGTGGCGTCCGAACGGAACGGCAGCGATACGCGCCCCACCAACCCCGCTGCCTCGGCGCGCAGAACAGTTCTTCCGAGATTTCGCCCGGTGTGTGTGTGTGTGTGTGTGTGTGTGTGTGTGTGCATGCAACCTTTTTGTATACCGGAGCGGCCAGGGCAGTGGATGTATTTGTGGCGAGATATATATATTTGTTTGTGACTATATATATATATATACATATGTGCCTCCACCGCCCTGCCCGCTCTGGTATAAAAAAAGCTCTGATGCACACACACACCGGGAGGCATATCATCATACATGTGGCGAGGTCGTGCGACCGCTCAAGCTTCGATCTTACAAAAAGGTCATGTCTACCACACAAGCTCCGGGCGTACCAAAAAAAAAAAAAAAAAAAACACAGACAACAAACCAAAAAATAACAGAGGGCATGGCATCTGCAAATCCACCCTAACAAATGTCACGCGACAGCACGCCGATCATTTCGGCTCTGCATCTACATCCCCGTTGTTCATCATGTGGGCTGTTGCGATGATGTGCACCTGGAGGCCATAACCGCCACAAGGCTGGCCATGACGGCGTTCCCTTCCTGCATAGCCCTGGCAACGACGCCTATCTGTTGTGTCCGGGAGGAGAGCATCGAAGCCCCTTCCGTTGTCGCACGTGCCAGCGTCCCGGAGGCTTTATCCAGCCCATCGACGAGAGCCTTCGTCGATTCCTCCATGATCGCCCTCATCACCGCCGTCGCCGGCGAACCGTCTCCACGAACCCTGCCCGCCGATGTTCGCCATGTCTTTGCACTGTGATCCGAAGCATCGGTGCCGCCACCCTCGGAAGCCGCCTCGCCGGCACGATCGGGCCCGCCCGCCTCTTCATTCACACCCCCCGACTCAGGTACATCCATCTCCTCCAATGCAAGGGTGTGGTTGCATTTGAATGAAGCCTTCACCCTCCACCATTCCATGGCGTCCCACAGAGAGCGTTCGAAGCCAAGCGGAACCCCCTTCTCCCTCCTTTCATCAGCAGTCACGTTGTAGTACCCAGCCTGCCCAGATCGGTCAAACTTGTTGGAGATGAGGTTCACAGTGTCCTTCATCTTTGTCCACTTCTTCTTGCAGTCCTCAGGTGTCCGATTGTATCCCGCATCACGCATGCGGTCGTTGATCCACTCGTACCTTCTCCCCCGTGTCATGTGCCTGTGAGGACAGTTTGCGTCTGTCATCAAAGCATCGTCCTCCCCGCAGATCTTCGCAAGGCACATGCGTTCCTCCAAGGACCAAGGTGTGTGTTTTTTTGGTGTTGCCGGAGGAGGCGCTTTGCGGGCCCGTTGTCTGCCACGCACTGTGTTCGTCTCCTCGCTCAAGACAGTCGGCCCATCAGCGAAAGCACCACCTGATGTCGGTCCTTCGTTGTCAGGGAAAGTGTGAGAAGAACCCCTTTCGCCTGTCGTAACAGGCTGGTGGACAGGCGGTGATGGGAGGTGCTGTTCGCCACGCACCGTATGTCGCATAGGATCAGACGCCCCGACATCCCCGGTCATCTCTCGTGACCCTCCTCCGATGGATGATCCCATCGGTGACGGCATTCCATCCCACATCCCGGAATGCCCCGATGCGGACGCCATGCGCCGTGCAGGAGACAAGTCGTCAACTCTTCCCCCTGTCGGCGCAGTGGCAGGTGTGCACGGTGTTTGGTGACCACGACGAAGGTGCGTCATTTGGCGGTCGAAATTGTCTGTAGGATGGCCATGCTGTCGATCTGCCATTGACAGTCGAGGTTGGTGTGCAATGTACGGCGTGTGCTGCACTGACGGCGATCGACACTGCGGCTGTCCTCCTCCCCATGCACCGCACCCCTGCGAATTGACGTCGAACTGTGGGAGACTGGCATCCACCCTCGAAGTGTGATGGACAGCCTCTTCGTTGTACCCGTCCCCTACACCGCCACGTGGCACCACTCCTTGCAGATTGCCACCTGCCGGGGTCGATTCCACGCCATGAAACCCTTGCTGCCCCCCGCCAGGACCGGGCCTGTCCATCCCATCAAACGTCCACGGATGCCCGTCTACCCGTTGCCCGACACCTCTCTCCGTCGGCGACTTCCTACCACAATCTTGACTCCATCCAGGGAACCCGGGACCGCCACCGCCCACCAGACCTCTCATGTCCTTCAGTCTCGCATCCTCTATGCTCATCGCCCCCTCATAACCGCCCATGAGCTCGACTGTGAATCTGCGGTCTTCCATGGCGAGAAGTTCGCCGACGGTGCACAGGATGTGCAGGTCCCTCTCAAAGCCTCTGCTTTGCGAGAAAGTATATGATGAGGACGTCGGCAGCGCAGAGAATAGCGACAACGATCACAAAAAAAAATACACACACAACTATCGCGATAAAAAATGTGAGCGTTGCACACAACAGGAAATGTTGTACGTGCCCCCCACAGCAAACGACGATCACATGCGGCCGTGCACTTGCTCCGCTGCACGTAGAGGTGAACTGCCGAAGCCTGTCTTCCACTGCAGTAGATGACGGCGCGCCTGAAGGGATGGCGGTAGGCTGGCGTTGTCTGCTGATTACCAGTGGATGACGTGGAACGGCCACCGTTCCTCGCCCTGTTTGGCCACTCACATTTGCCAACAACCACGGATGCGGATTCGGCCAAACGGACAGAGGAGGCACACGGACCCTAGCCACAGCGCCGGCCGCTGAGGTATGGCGATACGCTGGCGAGCACGACAGGCGTCGGTTGATGGAGTTCTGATTGCCTCGCCGTGCTATGAGCCGCGAGGAAGTGGCGGACGACGAGTGCGGCCGCTCGCAATACGAACCCCTCGCCACCGTACCTAACGGCCGTTCTCGCATGCTTCGGCGAGCAACACCGAAAAAGCACGGACGTTGGAGGACTCTGCCAAGCCTGAACATAGGGAAAGACAGCGCGGAGCACGTCGAAGAAGCGTAGCCGGGGCTATGGAGGACGGCCACGTGCACGCAGATGGAGGATGTGATAGACAGCTGCATGGGATTGCCATGCATGGCATGCACGTGCGCGATGTCTGCTCAGTGTATCCAGCTTCGTGTTTGGCCCTGAAGGCACCGCGGATGCACCCCAGGGCATTCAAAATTTCGAATTTCAAATTCGGCGGCTGAATGCCGTTTCGCAGGCCCTGGTTCCATGGTGCCTGTCCCGTTTGTCCCACCCCGATCGTGTCGACAGCGGCTTCGTCCGTCCACCCGTCCGACCTTCGGGTGGGGAGCACCAAGCGGACACGAAATGGACCTGCGCTATCTTCCAAGTCTGGAAAACGTAGGGGGATGCCCCCCCCCCTACCCCCTGCGTTTTCCACAAAATTTCGGCGAAGCTGATGTGAATAGGCTGTTTTCCGCCCCTAAAAGGACTTGGAAACTCGCTCTTCTCTTTTCCAGGGGCCACTTTTCCGGGCGGTGGGGTCTCGGAAATACAAAAAAAAGGACTTCCACACACTTTTCCAGAGGCTGTGGGGTCCGAGAGAACAGCGGGCGGAAGAGTTCTTCCGAGATTTTTCCCTGTGGGGTCCACCTCTAAAGAAACAAGCCCTCAAATGTGGTCACCCTCCAATCCAAGGACTGGCCAACAACGACCGCCGCTCTACCCCTTGCCACCTCTTCCATTCCACGGCCGTCCAACCCTCCCGGCAGCCACCGGCTCCGTTTGTTGACAATTTATCGGTTGCTTCGCAACAACAACGACAAAAGTGCTCTCGCGCTTTACGCAGTAGCACAAGTTGGGGTTTGATTTATTGATTTAGTTAACGTCGGTGCCGGTCACGGTGGAATGCTAATTTGCTGACGTCAACTTGACGAAGCTGACCTCAGCCGCCTGGCGACTTGCCGAGCTTTCATGACTGGAGATAGGTCCTGAACCGACGACCCGGGCCGAATTACCTTCACGGGCTTGACCCGAAGAACCGGCAGCGCGACTCCTCGCAGTGCCCAGGCTCTACGGGCGGTACCGGAGCTGGAACCGAGGCCGTACGCGGAGCCGGGGCGAGCGCCAGATCCCGACCCGGGCGGGTCCTGGTTCCCTCTCAGGAGCATGAGTGTGACGAGACTCGTGGCACTTTCACAAGACGAGGAGGACAGGACGCCTTGCCAGGCGACCAAGCCAGTGACCGACGTGATGTGGACACGTCACGTCGAGTGACACGTGTCCACGTCACGTCAAGTGACACGTGTCTAAGTCGACTTTGTCTTGGGATGGTTTGCTGTATGGTTTCACAAGCGGCCGTGTTGGTCCCGGTCCCGATCGCCACTGGGTTGTCAAGAGCAGACGTAAGACGATTGGCTTTCCCCGACTCGTTGCGACGTGGCAGAAGGAGAGTGGTGCTTCATAGTTGTTGTCGCCGGACGCTCCCACGTGTCGTCTCCCCCACGGGCTTATTTCGGAAACGGGGAACTCCTCCTTTCTCTGACCCCGGGTGCAGGGTATCATTGTCCTTGGATGGCGGGAAGTCCCACGTGTCCCATCGCCTGCCGTCCACGTCAGACTTGACATGCTCATCTGGCGAACACGAGGATAAAGATATGGATAAGGTTCTTGATCCCGTGACGACGACGCCGTTGTCGCCTTCTCTTGAAGCTACGTCTATGGCGGTGGATCCGCGTCCATCGGCGGCGCGGACATCTGCGTTGCCGCGAGATTGGGAAGATCCGACGGTAGTTTCGCGGAACAAGCGCCGAGCGCACGTGCCCCTTCACTCCCACCGTGATGAGGACTCGGCAGTTCGATTCTGGTGGAAGAGAAGTGTGGATGCGACGGCGCAAGGGGCAGAGAAGGCGCCATGGGGAGACGAGGCGGTAGAGGAGGCGGTAGCGAGTGCCAAATGGTGGACGGAGGGGTTGACACGTGTCAAGTCGTTGAGCGGGGAGTGGAAGTTTCACCTTGCAAGCAAACCAGAAGAAGTGCCGGATGGTTTTCACACCGTCGATTTCGATGATTCCAGTTGGGACACGCTGAAAGGTGAGAACGACGGCGGACACGACAAAAGCGATGACGAGCTGCACCCGCCTGACTCCTCTCCCTCTCCTCTCTCTCCCCCTCTCCTTGCCCC